AAAATACAAGCTTATGTACAGACTAACGTGATTATCTTCTTTAATTCTTTGTTCTTGTCAGGCCAGTTGTAATATGGGTAGAAAATCTTGGTCACTATAACTAGCATTTGTTGATTTATAGGAGTGAATGAAGAGATTATATGTGCTACTCTCAACCAGTGGACAATTTTCTAGAGAGGTACGGAGAGTCATCTGGAAAGACTAAGGCTAACCGCTCACATGTGATTACCCTGAGAAACGACAGCAGTCCTGGCTTAATGCTAAAGAGCCCTTCATCTATGTTCTTTTCTGCAAATAGCAGATTGCTAAAGGGCCTGCAAGGTCAATTTGTAGGTGTAGATGACAGCGGATAGAGAGAAGCAGACCCTTCAAGAAAAACATGAACCTTTTGAAGTGTAGGAAGACAGATATGCCTTGGGAGCAGCAGATCTCTTCATACATTCACAGTGTATTGCATAAGCAGTCTTTCTTAATCAAGCATTTTTCTGTCCTCACATCCTTCCAGAGGATGTTTGACAATGTCTTTGTCATCTTCTGCTGTTACACTTTGGTGTGGTGTGTAGAGGCCAAAAATACTGTCCCACTTCCTAAACATGCCCCTTAGTGCTGAGGGTAAGAAACTCTATTACAATGCTCAACAAATTGACTGTAAAAGTAACTGATACTACCCCAACAAATATCTGCCAAATAGCACCCATAATAAAAAGTATGATTATGGAATTAGAGGAAATGTATCTCAGAGTTCTTAAGAATGTCTTTCACTTAACCCAAATGAGAAGAGTATTTTCATCTACCAATTCAAGGAGCAACAGATAGAATTGCCTTATAAAAAGGCACACTTAGCCTGGCGTGGTGGTGCATGCCTTTAATCCCAGTCTTGGGAAGCAGAGGCAGGCGGATCTTTGTAAGTTCAAGGCCAACCTGGTCTACATAGTGAGTTCCAGGACAGCTGGGGCTACAGGGAGACCCTGTCTCAATGCACATGCCCATACTCACACACACACTCATCTGCAAATCCTGTCAAAAAAAAAAAAAAAAAAAAAAAAAAAAGAGGCACACTTATAGGACAATATAAATTCTAGAAATTTTGTTTGTGATTGTACAGTAAATATCTATACAATGTTTTTGGACTGTGAGTCATCTGATTTATTATTCCTATCTTAACTCTTTGTAAAACTTTAACAGAATATTGTATAACTCCCTTACAGTTGAGCTAAGTGTTATTTAAGTAATCCATAAAGCAGACATTTAGGATATCAGAAAGCTGGCAACACAAGGATCATCTATTCTCTGGACACTGTCAATGCTCTCTCTTAGAGCCAAAGATTGTCAATGAGGCAGCCAGTTATAACTTTATTAACCACTTGAATCAGGTTCAAAAGCAAGTCTTTTGTTTTGTGATGACAATAGTTTACAAATACACTCACATGTTCATAAAGAAGTTCTTATAGTACCTTTAGAAGCTTCATAAATTCTACTAGACTTAATAACATATTAATTTTTCCACGAAAGCTATGTGCCAATTTCCTGGGACTTAACATATAGTATAATTAGATAGCTTCATTCTTTCCTTCAAACTTACAAATTATAATATATTGTGTTAGTTAAGAATCTACTTCCGTCAAATAAAGTTTTTTAAACTATGTACCTAGAACCAGAAAGATCAGATTTTGGCTTTAGATATGGTGGTGACTGTTTTTTTTTTCTGTATTAATTTTGGCTATTTGGATATATTCATAGCAATGGAAATGCTTTACATTATTTCTAAGGAAGGTACTGTGGGTTCCCTGGAAAAAGAAGGATATGCAATATTTCTTCTGCTTTGGAAGGATTTTTCAGAACTGTTACATATATGTCAGTAACATTCAAGAGCAAACATTTTTACAGTGTTTTCTAGACTATGTATCCAAAGCCTCTAGAAACAGTGTCATTCAATTTCATTGTGCATACTTTTGTATTGAAGTGAAAGCTCTACATAAAACGAGCATGTCTGTTTTGACCTGGCACAAGGATTGCATAGAACTGTAGGGTGGTTCCATGTGGAACTAAAGGGAAGCACCAAATCAATGACTGCTTGGTAGTCACTTTAGGTCTGAGAAACACCATGAATGTGCTCAGACGTGGTGCCAAGACCTATGAGCTTGTGAAGCCTTTATGATATTGTCTGTTAGTAGTGTTGGGAGAATCTTATATTAAAAATCTACAGTCAAAAGCCTGATTGATGATAATGTGCAATGGACAACTGAGGCCTGGACTGTTGCTAGGAGAACTGCCACCTTCAGGAAAAGGAGAGAAAAGCACCAATCTACAGTGTCAGACTCTGGACCACTGGTCAGCTTTGTTCTCCATCCTGGTGAGAAGTAAGAGTGAAGGAAAAGAAAGACTTTCAGACCACCTGTGGAATGACGATAACACAATCTATAACCTTGCAAATCTGCCTTTCTCATTACCCATTTGGAAGCAGACAAGAAGAACAGAGCATGAAAGCTGGGTGAGTTCCAGTTCTTCCTGGGAGGGACTGAAATGCATTGTAGGGAAAACTCTGACCTCAAACAGGCTCAAATCTTATAGGGTAAAGAAAAGAGACTTAATTTGAAATACATGTAGGAATAAATTTCTTAAAGTTTGGTAATGTGTTATATTAGTTTTCTGAAGTGTTTTGAGTTAGGAAAAAATCTCAATTTCTTGCTTCTTTCTACTGAGTTATAGATCAAGGAAGTGGATGCATTTTGGAGGCATAGATAGTAAATTAACTTTAATGCTATTGCACTCATATCGAAGTACACACAGATAGCAATGCTCTTTGAATAGATCTAATTGTTGGGGGAAATATGTAAGACACAGTCTTACTAGAATTAATTATTGAAACCTTGAGGATATATGTTTTTCTAGAGAATATAATAAGAAAGTAATTATACTAAATACAAAAGGTCAGGGCAACACTGGCCTTTTAATTCTGAGAGGAATCTTGAATATGAATTGGAGATGATTAGACAAACAGATAAACAAAATAAAAAAGAGAAGACTCCAGGTCAAATGTATGGAGAAGATAAACAAGAAATATCTCCCTAGTGAAAAATGATATTTTACAATCAAGACTAAGTGTTCATATCATTTAGCAATATCAACGCTAACTTCAATGAGAAAAAAATGTACTAGGTTAGGGAAGGTAAAGACCAGGGTGTAAGTGTAAAGTGAAAAAAAGGGACTATATACATGCAATTTTCAACAGACTCCTAAAGCTAAGAGACATAGGAAGCAAGTGCAAAGAAATATGGAGTCCAGACAAACCATTTCCCCTAGTATAACTTCATATTCTAGATATAGTATAGCAAAGAATTAGTGCTGAGAATGTACTGAAAATGCAAATGAGAATGAAATATTTTTTATGAAGTTAATGAAATGGTGTTATGGTTTAGGCATGATGTGTCCCCAAAAATGCTCATATTTGACGTCTTTGTCACCAGCTGACAAATCCATCAGTTGAAAGATGATTAGATCACAAAGGTGCTGACTATACATTAATCCAGTGATGAGCTCATAACAGGATCAACCTATGGGTTTCCCTACTGATGAGCTTATAACAGAATAGGATGTTAGAGAATGGGGCCTGGCTGAGGACAGTAGGGCAGTAGGGGAATGTTGTTGAAGGGTATCTTGCCCCTGGCCTATTCCTGTTGTTCTGTTTTCTTAGCCACTGTGAGGTGAGCAGAGATCCTCTTCTACTTGGCTTTATCATGTTTGCTTTATCCATGTTCAGCCATGTCTTAATATATATAAACTGGCATCTTGTTATGTTATGAAGCAACTTTAAGAGATCTCAATCACAGATAAAACACAAAATATAAAAATACAGGTTTTCCCTTTTGACAAGATAAGTTTGTTTTAAATTTAGGTAGAAAACAGGATCTCTTAAAGTATCTTAATATTTCTTAAAGTATCTCTTCTAGTTGCATTCATTTTGAGAGAGAGAGAGAGAGAGAGAGAGAGAGAGAGAGAGAGAGAGGCAACAATTGACCTAGCACTTGCTATGTATACCAGACTGACCTTAATCTCTCAGAGACCCCCTGGCTTTGCTTCAATTGATTGCATTCAAATGTAACGAGAGAGAGAGAGAGAGAGAGAAATGAGAATCAGGTCACTTGTTAGCAGAGAGGCATAAATTTGGCAACTGTAGATAGTTTAAAATAACTTCTGTGGGTATAAGGAAAGAAGTTGCTTAGGAAAATAAAGAATTACTTCTAGGTAAATTGAGGACTTTATTGACATCAGAGACCTTGAATTGATAAAGTTATCAATCCATGCAGGTTCGTGTCACTAATCTCCTGAGAAGCTTCAATTGGCAAATGAAGTTGCCAATACTGAGAAGAGGATGATGGAAGTGCTGGACCTTGAAATCTCAGCTAGACAGAGCAGTTAGGGGAGCAGGAGGATGAAGTCAAAGAGTAAAGGAAATGTATATGGCATAAAAATGGCATGCACTCTAAGTAAGTGAATAAATAAGCTAAAAGAAGGTGAATTGACCAAATTTGGATTACTAAAGTAAAGTAATTGAGAAAGACTACTTATCAAGAAAAGAAGGTGTATTCAGCTCATAATAGCCCAAATGACAGAATAGGTTTGTTGATGGTTACTCCTTTGATGGAGTTATATCATTATACGGATTAGGTAGTAATGTTGAGAGTATCAGGCAGGTTGAGAATCAGTTGGAGGAAAAAAGTATTACATCTCAAACCTGGAGGGAGAGAAAGAGAGAGAGAGAGAGAGAGAGAGAGAGAGAGAGAGAGAGAGAGAGAGAGATCAGGGCTTAATTTCCCTTTGAATGCATACTTTCCAATAACCTAAGGTCTTCTCATGAGATACCATCTCCTAAAAGCCCACTGTATTTCACAACAACAATACCAATGTAGATACCAGGTCTTCACCTATAAACCTTTGGGAGTGGCTTAAAATCAAACTATGGCAGAGATTCAGAGATGAAAGTTAGGTGATTAGTGAAATGATGGCATGATGGCAATCATCTTTCAGGACTGAATGGAAGTAAAGAGAATACTCTTGCTTATCATTTGGGCATAATTTAAATAAAAAAGAAAGGTGATT